CTCTCTGCCGTGACAGGGGGAGGGGCTGGATTCTCCTCTCCCCGCTCTGCCAGCGCTGACTGGCGGAACTGAAGGGGGCGGGTACAGCTGGCTCTGCCTCTAGATAGGCAGAGCCAGCTGTCACTCACCAGCTGTCACTCACGCAGCTGGGCGGATCCCGTCATCTACGTCGGGATCCGCTCCGGCGTCTCAGTGTACCGCGAGCGGTATACTGAGCTTAGGGTAAAGAGAGGACACTAGTTTGTGTCCTCCCGTTACCCTAAGGAGAACTATGGGGAAAAACACTGACCACATAGTTCTCCTTTAATCCATGGTCTAGCTATGCACCCCCAATAGAACCACAAGCAAGGACATCTGTTGATAGATCTCATATGGAACGCTGCGCTATTAAGCTGTATTACATGCCCATGTGAGGACCTGTCATGGATATAAAAAACATGTCAACATGTCCTGTAGAGCAGTGCTCCCCAACCTTTTTATCGCCGCGGACCGGTCAACGTGTGATAATTTTACCGCGGCCCGCTGAGGGGGGGACGTTGATTGTTTATATTTTAGATTGTTTTGATTTAATAGTTTTCATTTAATTGTATTTAAACATGCCTTCAAAATAAAATACAGTTACACCAAAAAATGAATATGTCACCACTACTGTGTGGGCGGCAATATAATATATATATTATATATATATATTTTATAAATAATTATTACATTAAATACGTATCTGTATTTATTTTATTAATCAAATTAAATACATTTAAATTATTATTAAATTAATAAAAATAATTAAGCATATCATGTAATATATAATATATTTCTTTTTATAATTCAATGTAGAAAAATGTCTTTACTTTTTGCTAAAAGTGCCTGAGTGCTGGATAGGATAGCACCTGGCTGCATGAACATACCAGACACTTCTCCTGTGGACTGACTAAGACGCATTTGCAAACAGGCAAATACAGACACAGGCAGATACTGATCACTCAGAACTGGGTGATCTGATTGGCTGGGCGCGTGTTGCCGCTTTGTGATGCCTTCATTGCATCGCGCGCTGTGATTGGCTGGAGATTAACTTTTTCATCTCGCTACGCACGCTGTCACCGGGCAGAGCGGGGGTATCGGAACTCACTAGACACACTGCAGGCGAAGGACCGCGAGTCGCCGCTCGCCTGTGCGCCGCTTCGCCTGCAGTGTGTCACGGCCTTAAACCTCTCGACCATGGAAAGTCGCACACGTTCCTTGAGCGGCCCGGTACCATTTGATCCACGGACCGGTCCGCAGCCCGGGGGTTGGGGACCACTGCTGTAGAGCTTGTACGTAGGGGACTTCATCTGAGAAAAGGAGCTGTGTCACAATGACCTATTGTAGTAACAAAGGAAGTTACAATACAGGGATACAAGGATGTGGTTCATTATATTCAAAACAAAAAGAAAGTACTTGGTAGTTTTTGTGTTTTATTTACAAAAATTCAAATCATAAAATGTATGCTTACCAAACAGTAATATCAGCTTCAAAATCCCCTCCACATGAAACCAACCCAATCTCCCCACCTTAAAAAGTTTTGCTTACTCTCTATATGCTCAAGCACTGTCCCCAAGCTTCCGTCTCAGTCCAACGCATGCAGAGCAGCAGTCATGTCATTCGGGACATGTCATCACACAGGCTAAGCTCACAGTGCTCCAGGACCGGGCAGCGCTCAAACATCATTACATATGCACCACCTAGTCCAGCAAGAATGCCTGCCGCCACCAGAGTAAGATGCTGTGGTCTCACCCAACCAGCTAGACTGCAGGTAAAAGGCAAGTATAGGATTTTTTAAAAATGAGAAATACGGGGAGTTGCAGAAGAGGGGAGGCAGGTTAAATGCCCAGAATTCCGCTTTCAGATGGCATTACTGAGGAATACATTGCACCACGGTGTGCTCAACTTTGGAAGCACTTCAGTCCTTTATACAAACCTCGAGTGAGGTAATGTACTGCAGCGGTAGGCAACCTTTGCACTCCAGCTGTGAGGAAACTACAGATTCCATCAAGCCTTTGTCAGCCACAGACAGAGGCTTGCAATGCCTCATGGGACTTGTAGTTCCACATCAACTGGAATGCGGAGGTTGCCTACCTCTGATGTACTGCATGCAGGATATCCACACACATTAAACCCTTTCAGCAACAATTGGCACTGCTGAACAGGAAAAGGCAACATATATGGCACAGCCTCCATTTTGTCTCAGAAAATGAGATAGGAAAGTGTTATGCAGAGGCATGCATTCTCTCAGTAGTCATTGTAGAATTTGGCCATCAGATGTAGCCATTACACGGAAGATTCATATATATTTAGTATAGATATTTATTTTCATCGCAAATATTTATCCCGTGACCCATTTTATAAACTGAGTCCAACTCTTTTCCATAGGCTTCAGCTTGACTCTTAGATAAGGTCCATGATTACTCTGGATGAGCCGAGGTATCATTTCTATCAGCCAACATGTCTTTAAGTAGGGCGAGACTGGGATTTTGTGGCAGCCAAAACGACTCCAAACATAATGGCCGCGACTGTGAAGCCTTGCGCAGCAATACGTGTGCGCATCAACATCTGGGACTGGCGGGTTTTCCCCTGCTTGAAAGCGATAAGCCCGTATGTCAAAGCACCGGCGGTGGCAAGGCAGCCTGTGGAGACAGCAAAAGAAAATGACCTGTAAAGATCAGTAAATACGCAATTTAATTTCTTGTACCTACTGAAACATTAATGAAGTTAATAATAGCATTGATAAAAAAAATACTTACAGTTGTACAGGCTTCTCTTCAGTACTGAAAATGACTCACCCATAAAAGGTATTTTTTAATTTGCATAACTCTACGCTAGGGCCTGCTGCTTGCATGGGGACTGATTACTTGGAGTGCTGAGGCAAGGTGCTAATGTTTTCAAGGAATTATGTATAGCACCCTGCCGGCCCCACCTACCAGCCATGATCTGCATGCATTGTACGGAGAAGCACAAACACCGATTGGGTCTAAAATAAGGTATGTGATATTAACTGAGAAGTTTTATTTAAAATTTTCGTTACTGGTTGATGAAGGGCGGGGGGTCAGGGAAGGAAAAATATAAAAGACATTAATCTTCAACCTTAAAGTGACATTAAAAGGATAAATTTTTTCCCCTCCCCCTTGTTAATGTCAGCACTTACCTTAAATGATGTCTCTTAATCCGATCTTCTTTCCTCATGTTTTCATCTGTCTCTCCAGCGGTACGGCGGCTCTCCGATCCAGCGCTGACTCCTCTTTTTGCCGGCACTTCCGATCCAGCGGTGTCTGCATGCGGGTGCACGCGCCCATAGACTTACCTTGCGTCTGTGCGTAAACAGTAATATCAGCTTCAAAATCCCCTCCACATGAAACCAACCCAATCTCCCCACCTTAAAAAGTTTTGCTTACTCTCTATATGCTCAAGCACTGTCCCCAAGCTTCCGTCTCAGTCCAACGCATGCAGAGCAGCAGTCATGTCATTCGGGACATGTCATCACACAGGCTAAGCTCACAGTGCTCCAGGACCGGGCAGCGCTCAAACATCATTACATATGCACCACCTAGTCCAGCAAGAATGCCTGCCGCCACCAGAGTAAGATGCTGTGGTCTCACCCAACCAGCTAGACTGCAGGTAAAAGGCAAGTATAGGATTTTTTAAAAATGAGAAATACGGGGAGTTGCAGAAGAGGGGAGGCAGGTTAAATGCCCAGAATTCCGCTTTCAGATGGCATTACTGAGGAATACATTGCACCACGGTGTGCTCAACTTTGGAAGCACTTCAGTCCTTTATACAAACCTCGAGTGAGGTAATGTACTGCAGCGGTAGGCAACCTTTGCACTCCAGCTGTGAGGAAACTACAGATTCCATCAAGCCTTTGTCAGCCACAGACAGAGGCTTGCAATGCCTCATGGGACTTGTAGTTCCACATCAACTGGAATGCGGAGGTTGCCTACCTCTGATGTACTGCATGCAGGATATCCACACACATTAAACCCTTTCAGCAACAATTGGCACTGCTGAACAGGAAAAGGCAACATATATGGCACAGCCTCCATTTTGTCTCAGAAAATGAGATAGGAAAGTGTTATGCAGAGGCATGCATTCTCTCAGTAGTCATTGTAGAATTTGGCCATCAGATGTAGCCATTACACGGAAGATTCATATATATTTAGTATAGATATTTATTTTCATCGCAAATATTTATCCCGTGACCCATTTTATAAACTGAGTCCAACTCTTTTCCATAGGCTTCAGCTTGACTCTTAGATAAGGTCCATGATTACTCTGGATGAGCCGAGGTATCATTTCTATCAGCCAACATGTCTTTAAGTAGGGCGAGACTGGGATTTTGTGGCAGCCAAAACGACTCCAAACATAATGGCCGCGACTGTGAAGCCTTGCGCAGCAATACGTGTGCGCATCAACATCTGGGACTGGCGGGTTTTCCCCTGCTTGAAAGCGATAAGCCCGTATGTCAAAGCACCGGCGGTGGCAAGGCAGCCTGTGGAGACAGCAAAAGAAAATGACCTGTAAAGATCAGTAAATACGCAATTTAATTTCTTGTACCTACTGAAACATTAATGAAGTTAATAATAGCATTGATAAAAAAAATACTTACAGTTGTACAGGCTTCTCTTCAGTACTGAAAATGACTCACCCATAAAAGGTATTTTTTAATTTGCATAACTCTACGCTAGGGCCTGCTGCTTGCATGGGGACTGATTACTTGGAGTGCTGAGGCAAGGTGCTAATGTTTTCAAGGAATTATGTATAGCACCCTGCCGGCCCCACCTACCAGCCATGATCTGCATGCATTGTACGGAGAAGCACAAACACCGATTGGGTCTAAAATAAGGTATGTGATATTAACTGAGAAGTTTTATTTAAAATTTTCGTTACTGGTTGATGAAGGGCGGGGGGTCAGGGAAGGAAAAATATAAAAGACATTAATCTTCAACCTTAAAGTGACATTAAAAGGATAAATTTTTTCCCCTCCCCCTTGTTAATGTCAGCACTTACCTTAAATGATGTCTCTTAATCCGATCTTCTTTCCTCATGTTTTCATCTGTCTCTCCAGCGGTACGGCGGCTCTCCGATCCAGCGCTGACTCCTCTTTTTGCCGGCACTTCCGATCCAGCGGTGTCTGCATGCGGGTGCACGCGCCCATAGACTTACCTTGCGTCTGTGCGCGTCTCCCGGCCCAGAATCAGAACTGCGCATGAGCCCGCCCCAAGATCCTTTGCGGCCACACGAGCAGTTCCGGATTCTCGGCTCGTGAGCGTGCAGCGATAACAGTCTGTTAAAGCCTTTTTTTTTTAAACTTTTTGCCTAAATCTACTGCTTGCTAGCAGTAGATATAGGCAAAAAAACCAGAAGACACCAGTGAGCTAAAGTGTGTTTTTTGTTAATAAGAAAGACCCGGAAAGTATTTTGTGCCTCTTGATTATTCTGACTGTTTAAACACTTCCCTCTACAGAGAGACTACTGCTTCCACAGGACAGCAAGCATACCACTCTGCAGCTGCTGGCAGGACTCAGGCTTTTCACTCATACTGTGGCTGCTTTTTATGAAAATGAACTGTAAGACTTTAAACATTTTGTTTGATGCTTCTGAAATGTACTTAGCCAATTTAAACTGAAGGTTCAATAAAACTCAAATTCATACTTCAGTGTAATTATTATTGACACCAAATTACATTAAAGAAAAACTCTGGGGAAAATAGGAAACATATCCTTGCAATGGGGCAACCCCCTGAGGATCAGGTTAGAAATGCAGCTTTACTTGAGCCCCCTGGACAATATGAGCACTTAAAGGGTCCTAAAACCCTTGCGTGTTTTGCATACACCTAATGCTAGCAAGCAGTAAATATATGCAAAAACATTTAAAAAAAAAGTTACAAAACAGGTTTAAACTGACTAGTGTCTCCACCATGTGCTCCCGTCCACAGATCTGAACATTCTCGGGTGGCCGCAAAGGATCATGGACGGGCGCATGCGCATTACAGATCTTCCGACGGGAGAGACATAGGGTAAGTCAATGCAACAGCGTGCACATCGGACAGACTCCGTGGGACAGGAAGACACAGGAGTCAGCGCTGGATCAGAGACCGGCACCAGCGCTGGAGGGACTCCTGAAAATAAGATCAAGCGGTATTTAAGGCAAGTCCCGCTTTAAAGTTACCCTCGTCTTTGCTGCATGCTCCCGTCAGGAAATCCGAAACTGCTCGGGCGGCCGCAAAGCATCTTGGAGCGGTCGCATGCGCAGTTCGGATTTTCGGTCGGGAGACAAGGAGAGGCGCAAAGTAAATCTATGGACGCGTGCACCCGCATGCAGAGTCAGCGCTGGATCGGAGACACGCAGCAGCGCTGGAGAGATGGCTGAAAACTACAGGAAAGAAGAGGAAGATCGGATTAAGAGACATCATTTAAGGAAAGTGCTTTAATTAATTAAAGCCAACATTTTTTCGATTTTAAATAGACTATGGTAAGGTTCAAATCTCTCAGGAAGTGAAAGGGGCTCTCTCGTAAGAAATGGAAATCTCCTGATAGAGAACCATCACTGGAGCAAGTGTTGAAGTCACAAGATTTCCCCTTTATTCCTGTGATAACCCACAAATCTGGATTTTCTCTCACTTTCTCAGTTCCAATGACAATGGAGTGACCGAGGCTACCCCCATGTACAATAACTGTAACCTATATGAAGACACAAGGTTTTCAGCACACGCACACATATGTATTATACTGCTTACTATAAAGGCCAATTCCATGATTTGTAAGCCATGCCCCAGGAGGTGTGTCCATGACGTTCTGGTCTTAGAGGTAGTGGGCTAAATGATATTGGATATTGCCAATCACTGCCAGCAATCGACAAATTGTGGGAGAAGCGCCCACAGCTACATTAAAAATCAAAAGTCTGACTTATTTGCTTTGAGTTTATTTTCATTGTTTCAAAAGCCCTGAGGAAGGGGGTTGCGTCTGCCCTCAAAATGAGTTGGCTGTTTGATTGCTACAATAATTTAACTTGTTTGTGGACTCTGACATCTGTTTTGGTCTGGCGCTCTTCTGGTTTTGTCCCTGGCATGATATTTGGTGTCATTCTACCTGAAAGAAGGAAGGAATAGTGCCATGGGGGTTGTGATGTGGACAGAAAGATAAACTTAGCCTTTAAAGCAGAACTCCGGGGCAAGTCAGGTCTTGACCTTGCTGTGGGGCTACCACCGTATTGCAAGGGTTAGGTGTGCATTTTGTCTAGGGCGCTAAAATAACAAACTTATTCCCTTCAGCTCCCCCTATGTTTCAGCGGTCTAAGGTCCAGTGAGTCATCACGTTCTATAGAGTGTATAGAATGTGAGGACAGCAAGGGACATACCATCACTGGAGCGGAAGAAGAGACAGGCTGATGGGACTGGTCTGGGAGCCAGCCAGAATCATGGTTCAGGTGAGTAGAGCTGTTATTTTAGATCCCTAGACAAAACAAGCACTTAACCCTTCCAGTGCAGGGGTAACCATACTGCAAGGGTAATAACATTCTTGCCAGGGGTTCTGCTTTAAAGCACAGCTTTGCTTCTAACGAAACCCATAGTTGGATATATACAGTGGCTGCTTTTACTAATGTCTTTCAGTCAAGCGCACACCGTCTCACCGGTCAGAAACTACTGAAACCATCGGATTAGCATGACAGCCTGAATAACCTCTCAGAACCAGTGTACTTTATAGCAACTTTGTCATTTAACAATGGAACACTGGAATGTGAGGGAAGACGTCCAGTAGGAAATGACGACAACAACAACGATGGTGTCATTTTCTACTGGACATCTTCCCACACATTCCAGTGTTCCATTGTTTAAGTGACATCATCATTGTGGTCGTCGTCGTCACTCCTTTCAGTCACTTCCAGGTGTGTCGGACGCCTGCACCCCCAGTGGCACAATCTGCCGGCCACAATGTCACTACAGCTCAGCAGGTGGAACCACAGAGCACAGGAGGTTACGCAGCATCTGACACACCCCAAACTGATGCCAACAGCAGCCATGGTTATGCAAGAGAGCAGAGCCCCACGGACAACTCATCTTCTTTTACAGGCTGCTCGCAATTTAATCTATTTTTGACTAGCATCAGGATATTTTTAAAGGCCCATTCCCACCAATGAAATACATGCATCACACCGGTACCATCCAATTAATGCACTGTAGATTCACGGTGCAGTACGGGGCTTTAACCTCACACTGACCCATGCGATTAACACATTGTGCACCAGTGTGAATGGGCCCTAAAGTATTCCTGTAAGCACCTATGCTGTAAAAACTGTGCTATGGAATATGTTGGCACTACACTATAAAACAGCTGATCTGTTATATTTTAGCATGTTTAGATGTGAATACTGCAGACTACAGAGACCCTGCCACCATCACTTACCGATCGGTACAAAGGGATTCTCCTTGAATTTCCGTGAGAACTTGGTCCTGAAGCCCTCCTTCTGCAGGCGGGCGCTCGGGGTGAAGCCTTCGATCACGGGAGGCTCAGGCATCGCCATGTTGCTCTTCTCTATTCCTGCCTGTCAAGGACACTTTATAAACTGACACTTCCCTCTCTCCGTTCATCGACCAATAAGAAATCGTTCTGGCCTGATGCACTGCACAGGAAAAGTCCATAACCAGTGTGCTTGTGTAAGGCGCCCGCCCACAGACGGAAGCAGCTGATGGATTCCATGGCTGACGTCACTCCTGTCGGCTGCGTGCTGCCACCCAGCGCTTGCGCGTGGTATTACACAGCACATTTCATTGACTACGCTAAACACACTGGGAGAAATGTCTCACAACTGGAGACGGCAGAATCTAAAGCAGCTGTGGATAGCAATCAATCAGCTTCTCTCTTTCATGTTCAAATCTTAACTGAACAAACTGAAGATAGAAGCTGATTGGTTACTTAGGGCAACTGCTCCAGTTTTGATAAGTACCCCCCCATCACCACTGTGTACTGCTGCTATTGCTGACATTTCCTTCTACAAATGACAAGTGCCTGGCTTTCATTCTGATCCAATGGCTTCAACAGCATGCAGCATTTTTTTTTGTGTTCGCACTGGACCGGAACGCAGGCAATGTTTTGCCACGCTTTCAATCGCACTGTGGGCAGGGGGCGTGGCTGCAGTTCCATTGACTTCAATGTACCGTCACTCCCCCTCCCGCCCCAGAACGAAGGGGGGAGTTTAGTGTGCGACTGCTGTGTGCTTCAGCAGCTACTGCTCTGCAACGCACCGCAATTGCTGTGAACTGGCCCTGAGTTGTACTAACGTAACAGGGGGTTAGCACAGACTGATGCACACTGAAAAATGTGCCAGTTTCTATATTGCTGTTTAGTGAGCACTTCCTGGGATGAATTTTAAAAGTGGTGCATGATGTGCCAGATTTGAGTGCGATTTCTCTGCCGTGCGCTATAATTTTACCACAATTCTGAGGTATTCTTCCACTGGGAACATCCTAAGGCCCCATTCACACTGCGCGATTCGCAAATCGCGCGTTTTGCATTTTGTGCGATGTCGCGCGATTTGTCACGCGATATCACGCAAATGCTTGCATTGAGCAAGCGAGAATCGCGGCAAAATCCGCTCCAAAAAGGGTCCTGCTGTAGCGACACACGACCAGCGACAGCAGGACCCTTTGCCCCATTGCAAAGCATTGAAGAGCGATATCGCGCGGTAAATAGCCGCTATATCGCGGGAATTACCGCGCGATAAATCGCTCAATGTGAACGGGGGCCTAACTGTCCAAACATATCTCCCAGTCCTCTTCTCACTGTAGTGCTGACCACCTCTGTCGCCCCTCCTTACTATAATATTTACTCAGCTCTAGTAACAACGTATATTTTACACAAGGGGTGGACAAACTCCGTCCCTTCAGCTGTTGGGAAACTACAAGTCCCATCATGCAACTGTCTCTGGGGAGTCATGCCAGTAGCTTTGAGAATCTTACAATGCTAATTGCATTTTGCATGCAATTTGTAGTTCCACAACAGCTGGAGGGGCCTGTAGTGAGGAGGGACCGTGGTGATGGGGTGATAAATTCTATAACAGGGCTATTTGCAATAGGGTAAAGGGTTTGGAGAAGGCAGGAGAAGTGAACATTCTAGCCAAAATAGCTAATTGGAAAAATTCTCCAATTCAGCTCACTTTTCGGTTCAGGTATGTTGTCCTAAGCCAGGGGTGTCAAACTCAATTTTATTACGAACCACATCAGCATTATGGTTGCCCTCAAAGGGCTGGTTGTATCTGCAGGGCCAGATTTGCCGCACTGCCTCAGGGCTGCAGGGAGCAGAGGGCCGGCAAGGGTGGGTGGTTGTTTTCTACATTTAGCCCTGCTTTGGGCAAGAGGGGCAGGTGGTTGTTTTCTACGTTTAACCCTGCTTTGGACAAGAGGAGCAGGTGGTTGTTTTCTACATTTAAACCTGCTTTGGACAAGAGGAGCGGGTGGTTGTTTTCTACATTTAAACCTGCTTTGGACAAGAGGGTGGGGGGTTATTTTCTACATTTAGCCCTGCTTTGGGCAAGAGGGTGGGTGGTTATTTTCTACATTTAGCCCTGCTTTGGGCAAGAGGGCGGGTGGTTATTTTCTACATTTAACCCTGCTTTGGGCAAGAGGGGCAGGTGGTTATTTTCTACATTTAGCTCTGCTTTGGGCAAGAGGGGCGGGTGGCTGTTTTCTACATTTAGCTCTGCTTTGGTCAAAGAGGGGTGGGTGGTTGTTTTCTACAAGCAAGGTACTTTGCGACTTGTACTTTACTAATACCTTATACATATTGCTTCTATCCCCTATAGATGGCATGTAAACATACAAACGGTACACAACTTCAACAACAGTATTGAAATACAGGGTATGGGATCTGTTGTGGAAGAAAAAGAGGACCATTGACTCACATACTGCTTTTCATTTAATTTATTATATTTATTCAGGCTGTGAATAGCTTTGCACTAAACTACATCAGCAGACAGTGTCAATCATTTCCAGCAGAGTAGAATTTCATTGTTCTTTCTCTAAAAATAAAAAGTAAACATGAATCAATTATTTCTAATGGATCTGATTTCAAATTATTTGACAGTTTTATCAAATGAGATGCGTTTAAGCCTTGGCACTTTAACCAACGTTATCCAACTTAGATCCATTGCCTGACATTAAAAAAAAAAAGATACCTAGTGCTTTTCCCATGTACATTAAAGCAGAGGGTTCACTTAACTACTCAACCCAGATAATAATTCTCACCTTCCCTTCCCTGTCACTAGTTTCTCCAAAGGGAGTGAAAAAGGAGTAGTCCGGTCCACACTCCCTGTTCTCTGGTTGGAGCTAACATGAGGCTAGGTACTCTCCCATACTGGGGTTCCCCCATGCCAAGAAACATTAACAGGGTTATTAACAAAGGGGTGAAGAGTTTGGAGAAGGCAAATCGGCTATGTTGTCCTAGATTGTTCACTTCTCCTGCCTTCTCCAGACTCTTCACCCTTTTGTGAATAACACTGTAAGTATTTCATTTTGCTTCAGACAGCCAAATAGTCACCCTCTGTATGCTCCCCCACCCCTTGTATTTGGCAGCTTGTGGGAGTTAGTAGCTAGGTTTTAGGAATATATAAGTCTATATGATATTTTCAACCTTAGGGCGGTGTAAGTATTCTGAAGGTGAAAACAGTGGAAAATGCCTGTTTAAAGTGCATCAGCATGCCCACTTGCAGTCTCCATTGGGAGAGTGTGTGACAAGGTGACAACACAAGAGAACAGTCAAGAGACAGGGACAGAGAATTGTCACTCTGTAATAGAAGGTGCCTAAACAGGGACCTTCATGGTAAGATCACTACATAGTGTGGGGAATTTATCAAAACTGGAACATACTGAGTCTAGAGCAGTGGCCCATGGCAACCAATCAGCTTCACGTTTCTGTTTTTTACGTTAAAATTACACTAAACTCGTTAAACTATAAAAATGCATTCAAGTACATTAACTATTAACAATATTAATCCTTATTTGTGTATCACTCGGCTGTATATCCTCCAATAATCCCTGAATTCATGCTGTCACTGTCCTTCCTTCTGGAGGGTGGCTACTTTTGTTCTCTATGGTCCCTGTGTGTGTGTTGTAGAGTAGCCACCGTTCCAAGCTCACTCCTGTGATGGACTACAATCTCACATTTACTAATTTTTATTCAGTTTGAAGTCCATCACAGAAGCGAGCTTGGAGTGGTGGCTACTTTACAACACACACAGGGACCATGGGGAACACAACTAGCCACCCTCCAGAAGGAAGGACAGTGTCAGCACCAATTCAGAGATGATTTGAGGAATGGATCTACAGCTGAGTGATACACAAATAAGATACATTTTTGTTAATAGTTAAGGTAGTGGAATACATTTTTATGACTTACCTACTGAGTTTAGTGTCACTTTAAGCTTTGAAAATGAGAGAATCTGATGTGTTGCCATGGGCAACTGCTCCAGATTCTGTTTGCTTCAGTTTTGCTAAATTCCCCTCATTATGTTAATGAAAGCTGCAATAAAAGTTTTCGATTTTCCTTAACATGTTAAAGCTTATATAAGATTTTAGTGATACATAGGTGAGAAATTGATCAAAACTGGAGCAGACAGAATCTGGCGCAGGTTGTCCATGGCATCCAACAGCTTCTCACTTCAGTTTGTTCTGTTAAGACTTGAAAATAAAAGAGAGAAGCTAATTAGAGCAGACAAAATCTGGAGCATATGTGCATGGCAACCAGTTTTGATAAATTCCCCTCAAAGACTTTAATCTGATGCTTGATGGGCTATGGAAAATGGATGTATGCTGTAGACAGTTAAGCTTTGAAAATGAAAGAATCTGATTGGTCGCCATGAGAAACTGCTCTACATTCTGTCTGCCTCAGTTTTGTTAAATTCCCCTCATTATGTAAAAAAGTTGCAATTAAAGATTTTGATTTTCTTTAAAATGATAAAGCTTATATGAGATCTTAGTAATACATAGACTTTAATCTGATGCTTTATCGGCTAGGGAAAATGGATGTATTCTGTATTCAAACGCAGACAGTTAGGCTTTGAAAATGAAAGCTAATGGTTGACTGGTTGCCATGAGCAACTGCTCCAGGATTAGTCTACAATTTGCAAAGAAAACTCACAATACACCCATAAAGGACTCATACCACCACTTTCCCCCGTCCCTACTGCACTTACCTGTGTGATGCCCCTGCCTCCCAATAAGAAATGCTTTTTATTTCCAGGACTTGGTCTCCGGCTCAGAAGCACTTCTTATTGGTCAATGTGGTCATGTTACCGGTTTGACCAATGATTGCCCGCCATTTGCAAGCATTAACATCATTACAGACTGTAGGGCTTTGAAGTGTGGTGTATGGTGTAAGAACCACTACACTGGATGGCGGGGGCATCGCACAAGTAAGTACAGCGAGAACCGGGGAGATGGGTGGGTCATGTTAGTAAGTTCATTTTTTAAAATGTTATAAAAAGGTGAACTTTAAACCGAAGTAATTAAAAATAAACAAAAATAAAAACCTAACTGGAGCCAAAAGCATTAT